TACTGTTCTAGTTACGTTAATGAACGGGCTTTAACGACATCCATTTTGTTTTCAGTAATATCAGTATGTCGTAAATAAAAAAAAATGTGAGAAAGCAGCTAAGTCTAATTTATCAATATTTTGAAAACTATTCGTTGTCCCATTTTAAATCGACCTGGTGTACCTGTGAAATTGTATAAAATATCACCATGTAAAATTTCAAGTCTCTAAGATGGCCATAACAATGTTATTTTTGGCCAGAACGGGTCTAAAAATTCCAAAAAAAAAAAAAAATGGCCGAAAACGAAAGTGACAAACCGGAAACAGTATTATTTAACTATAGTTGACAGATAAGAAAGCCCAAGACATTTTTTATGCCTTAAGCAATCAAGTTCCATCTTAATTAATATTAGGTTTTATTTCAATATCTATACAATAATAGACATATTAAGTAATATTTTATCAGATACTGCTCCATTTCAAGTTAAATCATAATTTTTATTGTAATATTGCCTCTATTATATTTCCTTTTTAAAAATAAATTACGTTTGGTCTTAATTTTTTTTAAATAATTTTTTAATTTTTTTTGTGGAAGTTTTTATAATGACATTAAAAATAATTTTAAAATATTATATTTAATTTTTTTTAGTTTTTAAATCAGCAAATATGTTGCTAATATGATGATGAACACTTCTGGAAAGTTTCATAATATTTCTTATAGCAGTCTATGCTAAAAAATGACAAACCAAGTCGTACTTTAAAAATTCATAACTTTAAAACTACAACAGCTAAAAATATGATTTTGGTGTTATAATTATGTTTAAAATTAGCTCTATTCAACTGTGCCATTGGTTTATTTTTAAAAAATGTTTACATTTTTGACCAAAGTATCTGAGAGGCTATTCAAAAGCCAAGACTATAGTGGTGTTGTTTACATGATAAAATACGAAATGCGCTAAGAAATAATATACGCACCTGAACTGCACTTTTACCGGTTTATAATAGTTTTTTTTTTACTTTTCTTAGCAGCTGGCAAGTAGAACTTATCTTTAAAAAAAGTTGGCTCTCTTGATGCGCCGGCAAAGCCGACTGGGTCGCAAAATTCAGTCACAGATGGAACATACATTACCAAATAAAAAACGAAATTACCTTTCCAAGTCGTACATCTTTAGAGAAAGGCTGATAAGGCATATCCTTAAACTGATCTGGAATTTGATTTGGCCCCCATCCGTTCGGATTATCCTGAATTAAGGGAGGTATAAAATGTGCCGTAGACATTGTGAAAACGTGAAAAATGGCCGAAATCAAATGACTACTCTTACTACCAGCATACTTCGGTTTATAAAAAAATTGTAGTGATTTTAGAATTAAATATTGTTACATCAAATGTCTTAACATGGGCTCATTTGTTTCAATGAATTACTATTATTATTTCTTTGCATTCATTTATTTTTACAAAAATTTCGAAACATGCCGTTTTCTAAATATATTAATAAAAAGGTACTATCGTTACAATGAACGTTTATGCCAGCTTGATTCTATCAGAATTTCTACCGGGTACTCGCAAAATATATTTAAATTTATTATTCGCAAGTTACCTTGGAAGTCAAAATAAAATACACTGGCAAATAATAGGATCCATAATTATTTATTAATTTAATTGACTGATGCTATCAAGTTATCAATTTTTTTAGTCCTCTTAACGTTATCGTTTCTGAGGCGCAGCTAGAGTGTTGGAGGCCGGGGACAAGATTCAGCACTGAAATTCCATTATTTTCATCAATAAAATATAATTTGTCTATTTTCGCGCCCCTAACTAGTTTGGCGCACAGGACATCTATCTCCTCTCCTCTGTCTACCTTCCCACCTTCACCATTTATGGATGTCCACGGAAGTCTTGGCAAATGCTTTTTGATAACAAATCCTATGAGGACGTAAAGAAACACATAATGACGTCTATTCACGTACAAAAATGTGACCCTAATTTATTTATTTTAATGAGATAGTCTGTAGTAGGCTATATGACTGAAAAATTGAGTGAGTAGGTAATTTTTAGAAGGTTGAAAATTTTCGTAATAGTATTTTGACAAAAATATAAGAATTGTGACATTATGTTAGGAAAATCCAGGGGGTGGGTGCTCCCCACTGTAGACGCCACTGACGCTACGTATTATTTATTAGAGTTGCGTTTTTTTTTGTGGAAATAAATGACTCACTGCATTGCTGTCCGCGTGACTTTTGTAGCCCGCCCCCCTCCCGCCACTTTTAGGGTTTGTGCCTCCTTCATCTTAAAATTGATAGTTTACTGCGGCGTGTGGACGACATTGGGAAACAGATAACACATAATTTGAAAAGTCGAGCATCCGAGTTTATATTTTATGCTCTAGCATTGGATGAAAGCACAGATATGGCAGGTACTGCCCAACTGGCAATTTTTATCAAGGGTGTTGATGTCCATAAAATAAAAAAAAAAACAGAAACATTAGCGGCATTGTATCCACTTAAGGACACTACTAAGTTACAAGATTTGTTAGAGGCAGTAACATAGGGTGACCAAATCATGAAATGGAAAAAAAACGGGACACATTCAATGAGGGTTGGGGGGATACCCTCCAGCTAAAATGGGGTCCGGGCAGTGGCGTAGCGAGGGTGTTTAGCGCCCAGGGACAAGATTCGCGCCCGGGGACAAGATCCATTTTTAGCGCCCAATTTTCTTTTTTTCAACTCTCAAACCCATTATTTTCATCAATAAAATAATATCAAAGCACATTTTGGCGCCCCTAACTAGCTGGCGTCCGGGGACATCTGTCCCCCCCTGCCCCCACCACGCTACGCCTCTGGGTCCGGGGGCCTCCGCCGAAAACAGTTTATTGAAATATGGCCTCCGCCGGAAACTGTTTATTTATAATATGCTCCAGTTAACTATTTTGAGACCTAGAAATCTTTTTAAATTTACCTTCACTTTTGTAATTTAATTTAAACTCTGATGCATATCATAAATGAAAATTGTGCAGTGAATAGGCTTACTTATTTATTATAATTTATACATATTTTACAACATAATAAGATGTATGGCAGGGAAACTGTCGTTTACGCAGCCTTGGCAGAGTGGTGGAGGGGGAAAAGTGCAGCCATCACGCGAGCCCACATCACTACTGGCACTGGCTACACAGGTAGCCAAAATATTACTTGAAGTTATGTTATAAATTAAGAAGTTTTAGTGATTTGAAAATGTGTTTGGATTTAGAAACGGGACACTTAGGCGAGACACCGGGTACGATCGTAAAAAAAAAGACAAAAAAAAAAAAGGGACAATTCCGTTTTTTTACAGGACGTTTGGTAACATCAACATTGAATTGCTTTCCACTTTTCGTTACAACATAACAACGTATCGGGCTTAACAACGGATAGTGCTCCAGCCATGGTTGGGAAAAATCGAAGGTTTAGTTAAATTGATTGAATATGAAGCCTCCAAAGTCGGTAATCTTTCAATGCTAAATTTTCAATGCATTATTCATCTGGAGAATTTATGTTCGAAGTCCCTCAGAATGGACCATGTCATGAAAATGAAAGTGGTCGTCAAATAGTGATAAATTGATACTAATGCGGAAAGAAAATATGTTAAATTTTTGAAATTACTGCTGGTGGAGTGTGAGAGGCTATTCAAAAGCCAAGAATTTCGTAAGTCCTTGGACTCAGATTATAATGACGCTACATTTTATGCAGAAGTAAGATGGCTAACCCGTGCCAAAATGTTGAAAAGAGTGTTTGATCGGCAGCAAAAAATAAAATCATTCTTTGCAAGCCAATCAATAAGTAGGCCTATCCCAGATTTTGGAGACAAAGAGTGGGTTTGCGGCTTTGCATTTCTTGTCGATATAAATATAACTAGCCACCTAAATGACGTCAATACTCGTCTTCAAGGGAAACATCAATTAATTAATAATATGTGTGATCATATTTCTGCATTTCAAATGAAACTTGGTCTTGGAAACAACAGTTGAGGAGAAAAAAACTTTACTCGATTTCCTACATTGTCAATGCCACCAGACGTCACACAGGTGACGGCGGATAAATAGGCTTCTTTGATATCTAACTTAAACCTCGAATTCGAAAACCGATTTCACGATTTTGAAAACATGTGCTTTTTTTTAAAAGCATTTGCACGCCATTCGCGGTAGACGTGAATTCACCTTCATTGGGAAAACTGCGTGTAGCGACACCAGTCGAGATCAATTTTGATGAGATTAGTTCGGCAAAACAAAGTCAGATGCCTCACTGTTAAAATTTATTTAATTGTCTAATAAATATATTTGATTCTCAGTTGTTTTATTTTCTTCAAAAAAATAAATAAACCTATTTCTGGTTTTGTTTACAGGCAAGCGTTTGACCACGATCTCATGTACTGGGAAGCGACGATGTAGTCGAAGCTGTAGCATGCTCGCTTGTTTACTTTAATTAACAAAAAAAATATAAGGTGCGTGGCCCGGTAGCAAATAGTATTTCTAAAATTTGGCCCGCCTGCTGAAAAGGTTGGCCGCCCCTGGTTTACCTGTTCCACATCTCATCTTTGAGCCCCGTAAATATCTTAGACTTAGACCCCCCCCCCTGCAATCGCAAGTGTTGCAGGGTCCATGCGACGACTCCGACTCATCGAGTGACTGGACTTGATTCAAATGATGTTCAAATCCTTTAATAAATTATAAAGGCTTTTTAAAAGACGCTAATTTTGGAAACAGAAAGAATATATTATAATCAATCAATTAGTTATTAATCTTCTTTCGCCTCTTCGTCCTCGAGGAGCAGCAGCCGATCTTTAAAGACGACTGTGATCCTTTAATAATTAACCTAATTAGGCCTATAGTTAAAAACTTCAGGTTTATCAACACCTCCCCCACTGTTTTTCTTCTCTTTTTTTTTTTGTATAATAAATTTATGATACTTTAAAAAAAAAAAAATTAAAATAATTAAAAAAGGAAAAATATGAAATATTTAAGTTTAAGTTTTTTTTTTGTATAATAAATTTATGATACTTTAAAAAAAAAAAATTAAAATAATTAAAAAAGGAAAAATGTGAAATGTTTAAGTTTAAGTTTAAGGTCAGCAGCTGGTAAAACGAGAAGTGACAACATTCGGTACCAAGGAATACGACAAATAGTTGGTACCATCTGTCAACCAACGTGCCTGGGTGGGACCATTCCTCGCTACGTTTTACTGCCGGCTCATTTCGTCACCGGCTGTTTCCTTGACATAAATGTAAACATTATTGCCTGCCTTATTTACACCCTAAATATCCATAACAACCTCTAGCAGGATTGACCGGTACCACAACAATGTTCTTATACTAAAAAGGAAAAAAAAAAAAAGGTTTCATAATAGTAATAGCTTATTATAATGAATACAAGTAATTATTTGGGTCTACTGAAGACGTCTCGCGCTTTATCATTCTTTAATGAAACATAAATGATTAGCTCTATATATACAAGTAAAAGTAAACCTAAATCAGTTAACAAAACTTTTTTTTTTTGGTTTAAATTCTTCTTGAGTGCACTTTTCAAACCTAAATTAAAAATCATGCAATTAATCAGCTGTCTTTGTATTTTATGTCGTCAGATGTAGGTCTACATTACTATGTCACTTTCAAATGCATCTCTGGCTTAGATAATGCTGCAGAGCTGATATTTGGTATACCGCTGTCGTTATTAGCAAATATTTCTAATCTATCAATATTTCAAGTTTCCGTATTTAATTTTCCTGAGTTACATTCCATGTTGTTAAAGTATTGAATCATGAGCACATCAAGCATCTGTAAGGGACACTGAAAACAATCTTTCAACAGTTGGAGCAGCAGTTCTCAACCTGTGGGTCGAGACCCCTTTGGGGCCTGCACGACCCTTTCACAGCGGACGCCTAAGACCATCTGAAAACACATATACTCCACAGTTATATAGTATCAACAAAAATAATTTTATGGTCGGGGGTCGCCACAACATTAGGAACTGTGTTAAAGGGTCGCGGTATAAGAAAGGATGAGAACCACCGAGTTGGAGTGTGATAAAGATTTAAATTATCCACTTCTTGCAGAATAAAATTAAACTGGGGCCAATTAACAGAAAAGGAAAAAAATCATTCATAAGTTGTTGATTTTTGTTTGTCAGTGGACATATAAATGATTTTGTCCAGGGACTTCAAATGAATTACAAAGCAAAGTTTCTGATGTTGAGTATTATAAAATGTATTAGCTTGATCAGCATCACTGGCAAAAACAAACATTTGTAAATGAATTGGAAACAGTAAATAAATAATTCATCTAGAATGTTGGTACAATTTGATTTCTGATCAACTATATACTTGTTTCTTTGTGTGAGCAAATTATTGTGGCAATAATTACTTGACTTATGCAAGTATTACTTTTACTGGGGAGACGTTGCAGGGAGGTGTAGTTGACAGATTTCCGCAAAGTGTCACTTGTTTCTTTGTGATCAGCCAATCATTAGGAAAGGATATTGAGTAATGCTTAGAGCAGAATTTAAATTCATTCCCGTAGACCAGGATCAACTAAGGGATACATACTTTCATTAACGCTGCTCATGGAAAGAATAAATATCGCAAAACATATGGTACAATGTTTCCTTATTAGTCTTTATTTTGTTCCAAATTGTGATGAATCTTCAAACTTCAATGCATGAGTCCAAAGTAAAGAGAAAACAAAGCATACTATTATATTATAGATATTGAATTGGCATTGCTGGCAAAAAACATATTTCTTTTAAAAACACTATTTATGGTTTTGTTTGTTGTGACCATTGAATTTTACTGTAAAATTTTTTTCTTAAAAACCAAAAGATGTAACAATGAAATCTCTAATAATAGTACACATTTTGAAATTAACAGGTACTAGGCTATAAGTTGAATTAAGCCTATTTCACAATGATAACCATGAAAGGAAAATAAGTACATACTACCCATTACTTTGAAAAGGTATTTTTATACTAACAGTACAGGATAGGGTAAATGTTATCAGATAATGAATTTAAGAAATTAGGTTTCATGTTTACTAAAAGCAGTATATGCTATATATTTTTTGTGAAAGTTATTAAAAAAATCTGAATAAAAACAGAAAAAGCAATTAAGTTAGTACCTAGAGTAAATTTATTTGATGAAAAATTGCTAAATTTAAAAAAAAGATGCTCCTAAAATATCATTGAAACGATTGACATGTTTAACTTATTATTTAGCCCATTTAAAATTAATTATTAACAAAAGGGAAAAATATAAAATATTTTTTATTTTAAAATAAAACACACATAATTCGGGAAAAAAATAGAAAGAAAAAATTAATCATCAATAATAGTTGCAAAATACAGCAGCCAATAAAAAGAAATAAATGGAGCCGGCCTTAAAATTTTCATCTATTAAAACAACAGAACTGAGATTGAAAATCTGCTATCAATTTCATTTTCATAATAATAATAATACCGGTACCAAAATGCATGTAATTATGAATGTATATATGACTAGATGAAACAATGATTTTTATGTACAAAGCCATTGCACCTCATTGGTAATGTTGGGTAATAACACTCTTGATTAAACATTTAGAGGTGATTTGAACATTCATTATAAAATTTAGACTCCTAACATATAACAGAAGTGCTTCTGGAAAGAGAATAGTGGTGCACCACCAGAATTTGATAAATGATAAAAACTGACCTTTTTTTTAAGTCTACCTAACAAGCCTAAATTAAAAGTTAACATTGAGGTCGCAGAAAGAAAAAAATGGTGGACCATAGCTAAATTTGTCAATATCTTTACTTTATGGTAGCTTAAAAACTTAAACAAAAATGTCAACTTTGGATCAGTCTAAAAGCAAATATTTTCTAAGTTAACATGTCCCATTAGTGATTTATCCCCATCTCCACTGAACAGTTAATTTATGTAATGAACAGTTAATTTATGTAGCTGTATATAAATATAAATGATATGTTGATTGAGACAAGATTCCTTTCACACAAACCTAAAAATGCCATTCTATTTCAGGCTACAACGTTGAATATGATACAAATAATAACAAAAATGATACAGAGAATCTACCTGGTATCCCTAAAAAAGTACAAAAACCCCAACTTTTGAAACCAGCATGTGATGTAAATGCAACAAATAACATAATTATAGTTTTGCACTAAAAAAAGCTTTATCCACATCCAAAATGTACATAAAAAATAAAATCATTCAAATAAAGATAGCCCAAAATGTAAAGATTACCTTCCAAAATACAACTTTGTTAACATGCAAATGTTTTAAATTATACAATTTTTAAGACTGCCAACGTTACAATGTTTTGCGTAAATACCAAAAACATTAAGAAAATTTTAACCAAAAAATTTCTTTTTATGAACTTCTAATCATTTTCGAGGTAGACATGTCAGCACAAAGATGTATTTAATGATTAGGTTGGCTGCAGCGCTAATTTAAACATATTTACTTCACAATGATAATCCTATTGTATATTATGTACAGTAATGCAAATTAAATTTCAACTGTCACACATTGCATTTTTATTATTTTAATTTTAAAAATAATTTTGTTTTTATAAACTTATAACATGCTCTTTCTTTAGCGGATAACATGTTTTAGGAATGATTGACTTTCAATTATAAAAAAACAGCAAAGAATTCTTGCATGATATATAAATATATAAATATAATACCTTTCTTCTTACATGCTGCGTTTTAAATATCATTCAATAAATGCCTGAAAAAATATGAATTAGCTTACAAAGGTACCTGTGGTGCACATCAAGTTGGTCTTAATATCATGTAACATATATGTATAATTTAAAATATTTTTTTGGTCCATGATTAATGGATAAAATTAATTATAAGTTAATTTAAATTACATAGAATCCATTAATTTAAGGTTTAAATTTAAAATAACTTTTCATTCATTAAGCTTATAGAATAAGTGTTTGGTCCTTGTTTTTAACTTCTAAAGATAGTTCAAAATTTGATGAAATAGCATTATTTGTTAAATAATAAATAGCACAACTAAAATGTTTGGATACTGGGCAGTAGTGAAAGAAACTCCTCTTGCATGTGTATACAAGTACTGGGCCATTTGTGTTCTTGGCGGACCAATGAACATTAACTGCAATCAGTTGCCTAAAAAAAAAGAAAGAATAACTGGAGTCAAGTAAATCAGCAGAATGAATTAAGATTCAATGAAATATATGAATCTTAGATTTTAAACAAACAAATTGCTGAGGTAAAAATTGTTACTGGAATTTGTACTCATATCTACTCATTTGATTGTGTTTGTTTAGTATTAACTAATTTAACAAAGATACTGATCAACAATTATATTTATGTAATCTTATTACATGCAATATTGGTCTCGGGCTCTATATGGATGTATTTTAATAGTGACAAACAAGATGATGAAATTGCCATATTAAATTAAAAATTAATTTTTGAAAAATATCTTTGTCTTTAAATTAAAAGAACTGTGTGCCTTTTCCGCTAATCTCTCTTAAAAAAATTAATTGCAACAATGCTTAAAAAGGAATATTTCAATAAGAAAATAAATCCAGGCAGCATGCGTATAGGATTAGCACGCACCTGCCCTGTCACACACCTCTTGGATGAGTGAGGACAGGCACAGCAGCTGTTGTTTAAGTGTTGCAAGATCAGTCTGCATTTGACAGAAGGTCTCACTAGGAATGACAACACAATCCACCCCATCAACATTCATCCGCACTGCATTATCCAGTGACACCAAGTCTTCTGTGCTCTCCACCAACTGCCTGAAAGCATAAACAATTTATTCAATTTACAAACATATACAAAATAATTAATTATAGAAACATATACAAAAGAATTAAATATAGAAACATATATAAAAGAATTGAATATAGAAACATGTATAAGTTACTGAATATGGGAACGTACAAATGATTTAATATAAAAATTAAAAAAATTATTGGATATGGGAATTTGTACACACTTTTAAAATAAAGAAAGATTTATTATGAAAATGACAAAGTTTAAACAAAGCCTTTGATTACTAAAAAACCAAGAAGAACTATTTGGCTAATTACTTTTTAGCAGGTAAATAATTACTGGAAGGAAAGAAAAAAATTACATATAAAACAGAGAGCACTCACCTGATGCTGCTGTATGACAGAGATGTAGCTCTGCTAAGGCTGTCCAGATCCAAGCTCGCCAGGTCATCTTCTGTACCATCATTGAGGGCCTCACTGCTTGAATCGCTCAGCACAACACCCCTGCTACTCAAAGATAATGTCCTTTTATGTGCAGCTGAGTAAAATAATAAGAAAACCATAAAGTATAAATTATAGATATTTTTTTAAAAGCACAGATTATAATTGATTCAGGGCACACAAGCCAAGTCATCCTGCTCTTAAGTCATTGGTCCCTTAAACTGACGCAGCTAGTCAATGTGGATTCTGTATTCCATCACCATTACACTAAAATTTATTATATCAATAAAGATCCAGTACCCGGTACCTATCTTCGCATAAAGGTTCGTAATCTAAATTTTCAAACATTATTTCAGTAAATTCCCCATTAAAGTTAAAGAACATAAATTATAAATGAACTAAAGCTTATAGTATTGGAAGATATCAATTTTTAAATTTGAGGCTAATCTCAACATAGCCCCTTTCCTTAATGAAAGAAATTTCCACACCTTTTTTCATGGCTCTGTGTAGGTATGGCTCTGATGTGCTGCTGTTGGTGAAGATGCCTGAAGACATCTCCGACTTGCTGGAGTCTATCTGTGGAGCTGCATTCTGGGAAAGGGGGTCTATTTCATCTGCCTTGGCTGTTGCAAAGGAAACATTTTTCGGCAAGCTTGTGCTCTTCTTGTTTGCAGAGCCCATATTATGAATGCTGTCTGAATCTAATTCATCAGTCTCTTGCAGCGATAAGATGTTTTTACCATGATTTTCATAATTTGTTTTATCCATTTCAGTTGCCACACACTGTTCATGGTTGGACTCTGAAACCACACTTAAGAAATCTGACTCTATATTTTCATCATGAGCCTGTGGACAACAGTATTCATTGGAGTAAAAGTCACACCTACAGATGGAGTCAGTTATATCCAGAATCTCACTGAGCAAACTTCTCCGTTTCTGATTCCTCTGGTTTGGAGTGTCATTGAGGACAGTATCAATTGAGTCAAAGTGAGCCAGGGGTGCCTGAGCCAGCTCGTACTCCTCTGCACACTTATCTGAAATGTCATACCGGCTTTTCTCTGCTGACGACAGCAGGGTGAGGGCCATGTCTAAACGCTCGGCAGATCTTATAGAGATTCTGAGATTTTTATCTTTCTGGGCCAGACAGGGATTTTTGAGACTTGATTTCAGCCCATTCTTATCCACAATAATTTGCTTTTTCTGACCGTGGGTCTGACACTGAGGGTTTATGCTTGGCTTCCCTGGTTGCCTTGGCCCACATGAACAATATGTGTCGGCCAACAAGGCAGTGAAAGCCGAGTCATCAAGTTTGAAATTTCCACATTTGCTGCACGAGCCTCGACTGAGGCGCTCTAACTTTTTATTGAGCTCATCTGGGACGGGTTTAGAAGTCCCATGTTCCAGAAATTCCTCTGGTGCTGTGCCAATGCTCTCAACCCCACTGTCAGAGGGTGCCACCCCTCTATCACCTGTTTTTTCATCTGTGTGATCGGACGGAAACTCAGGTGTAGAAGTTCGTGATATCTGATGATTGATGGGTACTGTATTTTTTTCACCAGGACATTGTTCTAAAAAAATTCCCAGGTCTGTGTCCTCATCACCACTTTCCTGTAACGGGACAGTTTCCTGAAAATTTTCTGGGAACTTCTTCTTGGCTTTCTTCGAGTCTTTTGTTTTTATCGTTGGTGGCTTGTAGCTGTTAAGTTCATCAGTGTCACATGCACTTTTAGAATAACAGGCCCCCATTTCTGTTGGAAGACCACATCACCATCTCCTGTAATAAAGTTAACAAACAAGTGTAGGTGAGAATCTCACATTATGCAAAGTAATTCTTGCCTATACATTAAAAAAAAACAACTCAGCACAGAATTAACATATTGACTTATACATGTAAATAGACTTATATAGTTTGTATCTAATTAAAATATGTTATAAAGGAAACTTTGAGTATAAAAAATCAGTATTAAATAGGGCAAATTTTGAAACAAGCCTTTTAAACTTTTCAAAACTATTTTTTTTTTTTGTATAAAGATATTTCACAAATAATGTTGTTCCCATGCGACAGCTTTTGTTTAGTTAACGCTAACAAGGATATTTCAAGCATTACAAAATAGCCACAGGTGGAGCATGTACATATATATATATATGTGAATGCTATAAATACAAAGTTAACATATTGAAAAATCATTATTGTTAAGCTAGGAAGTACTAATCCATTGTAAAGAAATATGAATGGACTATTACAAATTAACTAAATTCTCACAAAAGAAAACTCATAAAATGAAAACAAGTCATGTAACAACCACACAAAACACCCCAACAAAAAAAAACAGAGTAAGTTCTATTCTTGAAAGTCACTTGAGTTCAGATAATAGTCAAATTAAAACTGCTAGGTTGTGTTATATAGATAGGCAAACTTATTAATAATCTTTAAGTTTAATTTCACCCCCAACTCAGCAGTAATAATAATACATTTTTAAAAAGTCAAGAATCATTTTTCTAATTCCTTCTCTGCTCAGTTTAAATAACCAGTAGAAAATACAAAGAGCATTAGTCAGTAGAAAAGGAATTAAAAGGCCGCTGCACTCCAAATAGGCTTCTTACATCAAAGAAAACATATCCTGGGAAATAGATACACTAAAAATACTTAATCACAATTTCCTGAAACTGTAAAGAAATAACCACTGCTACAATTAAAAAGCACCTTAACAAGAATTGCAGCTTGAAAATTAAGAAAATCTACAGGTAAAAAAAACCAAAAAAAAACCCAGATAAAGGACATGCTTTATACGAGAATTGGAGGACTTGTTTTCCTAAAACTAACATTAATTTAACAACATAAAAAAAAAAACAAGAAAAGAAGCTAAAACACCTAAACAATGGCTTGCTCACACCACACAATAAGAAAACAAAAGTTTAACCTCTAAACAAAGTTACACCAACATTGAGAAGTCTTCCACACACCACAACTTTCATCAAACTCCAGACCTGTCTGTTTACCATGACCTACCATACACAGACCAAAATAAAAAAAGCTTTATGACTAACACCTGGACAGGGAAATGAGTTTTTGGAGCAACCAAGCTACATGTGCAGATATAGGGGAGGGAGTGGTTGAGATAGGAAGGCAATCTGGACAGTAGAGTGAACCTTGAAAAAGAGCAAAGGTAAGACTGAGTGGTTCTGATATCTAGGTCAGGGAGAAGATGAGAAAATATATAAGGAGCTTTGCATGGGCTAAGTTAATGTCAAGCTTTTAATTATAATGTTTATCAAAAGAAATACTTTTTTTCATTTCATTGCATAATCAAATTATTATTTTGAAATAATAATTTTTAGTATAATTAAATTTTATTTCATGTAAATGCAAGATTTTGATGATGAGATAAAGTTGTATGCATAAAACAATATTAATCATGAAATTAGTCCAGAGTTTCAAACATTAAAAAACGTTTTACTGCTGTTTTCAAGACATAATTTTAAGTGACTTTTTACCCAGAGTTATTAATAAACTACTTTATATAGAGAACTAAAATCTGTGATGTCATGAATTTGAAACTGTCTCCAATTTTTGAACCATTGGAACTTGTATAAAAATATATACCAGTATTATAAATTTGTTTTGAGTAATCAAAGTGTTTTTGTTAATAAATTAAATTATTATTATGCACAAACAATTTGCTTCATCATGCCAAAGAAATTTATTCCATTTAATATATAACAATTACAATTCATATCATGCCTGACTTCAGTTGACAATCCAAACAATTGTAATGAATGCTCCACCCCTAGCTAGCACTGAAAGGTGTAAAAACAGATGTACTGCACTGGTAACAGAAAAAAAGTATGAAACTTTCAATACCTCTTAATATGACTTCATTAGAGCAAGTAACTTATGCTATGACTATAAAGAGAGGTGATATAATGCTAAAACATCATAAAATAAATATAAATTATAAAAGCAATTATTAAAGGAAAAACCATTAATACTTAGGAGATGAAACACGGAACATTAAAAAAAAAAAAACTAGAGTGAAATGGTTACAGCTATGGTGAACAATTTGAAAAAAAATTCATATTTAGAATATGTAAGGCGGCCATTTTAACCCTTTTCTACCAGTACAGTGCAGGTTTTTGGACATTGGTCCTGGTTAGTCAGTTGTAATCAGTACAGTTAGAAACTCAAAATTGAAAATTTATTAATATATAATCAATATATGAGTTCATGCATAAATAAACACAACTAAACAATTTCATGCCATGGCGCAAAACGATTTAAAAAAATGATCACTATTAGTACATGTATTGAAAGAGTAAACCTACATAAAGTTTTTTTAATTCTGAGCCTGCAGTTAAAGTTAAATTATTAATTACCTTCCTAAAATTATGAAATTTAAAATTAGTTTTGTCGATAAGAGCTTATTAAGTTTAATTCTGCATGATTTCCTAAAACTCCATTAAATAAGTGTGTGGTAGTTTTAGAGCAGAGTTAAGAGTTCACTATAGCTCAATGTATTAAACTGTTTGTAGCAGAGTTTCCTAGTCATAAATAGTTTTATCCCTCATGTACAATCAGCATATATTATTATTAAGAATAAGCTCTGTACATTAATAAATGGCGTCAGTGGGTCGTTGAGCTAGTACCAAACTCTTTATGCTCTCCCCAAAGCACCCCATCTCTAGCCTGAGGATTGGGCTGCAAAGCGGCACGTTAGAGATCTCCCTTTGCCAGGACAGCCCACACCAGCATCCACTCGATTGGGTACTAACAGAGGCCATCCCAGCGCAAGGACAACGGGTCGGAAGGTGACGATGCTCTCACAGCATCAGTCGATTTTCCCAGGGAGTATGGATGGTATATTTAGTTCTAAACTCTCCCCCCCCCCCTCCCATCCTGGGGAAGCGTCACACGCCCTTTAATAGGGATTTCTACAGTGGGTTTCTACTTCTTTGCGACTAATTTGCAAAGAAGCTGGGATGAAACAGTTGCCTAGGAACACCTTCATCAAATGCTGTGTAAATAGAATAATCAGCATGAACGTAGCCACTACCCACCTGCTTTGTCTATTCAATTAAATCCTTTTATGTGGTTTTATTAAAAAAGGTTTTTGAAATGGATAAACTATGTAAAGAAAATTAAAATTGTATGTTGATTAAATTATAGACAACTTTTCAGCATCTGCAAAACAACAATTTTTTGGGACTATTAAGAATAATAATATTTATTAATTTTTTTTTTGATAACATAAAATCTAATTAGTTTAGTTTATCTCAATTTAGCAATAACCTATTCAAGTCTTTCCTTTTTAAAACATAAAGTAACACAATAAGTTTTTTTCGGAATAGGGATGTTAATACCAGTATTTTCAAACAAAACAGATGTCGGTTTTAGAAACCCGGTCATTTAGCTTTTACAATCAGGAAGCAAGTCCTGTAGGAAAACTTGGGAATGGCTTTCCTGTATTTTTTTTTGGCTAAGAAATAAATACATATTTATTGCAAAGGTGAGGGCCTAGGATGATAGCCCACACTTCACCCCAGGACTTGTCTCCTGTTTGCCATGTACTCCAAACTGCTCCTCAAAGTAATTTCAGATTGACAAACTATTTTCAGTCCACTTCATAGCTAATTTTTTCATATATATACTAGTGAAAAATCACAAAAAACAAAACAGTTGATACTCCATGAAGTGTAGTTAGTTGGAGATGACAAATATTCAGAATGACCAATCACAAGAAGTCATAGCAAGCCTTAATTCTAAACGAAATCTTGCTTGCCAATTTTTTCGACATAAAAGCCATTGTTCATGCAGTATTTGTTCTTTCCAGCTCTACTATGAGCTCTGACTTCTATTGCAAAGGTGTTGGGGCATGTGGGATATAATGTAACCAACTCTTTGGATAGTTTTTTTGGAGTTATTTCCTAGGAGTTAAAATAACATATAACGTGTCTCTTTAACTTAAAAAAAAAAATTAACAAAAGTCTTAGACTATTCACAATATCATTACATTGATACAGTATTGTCGTGTTATTTCGTCTATATTTACTGCGATGATCAAAATAATAATTTATTTGGGGTGTGTGTATTCCGAGAACTTAGATCAAACTTTAAGAAATATATCACAATGTGTAATAAGATGACATTTTTCTCCATATGTGTAGTAACGGACATCAGTATATTAGAAAATACTCCACACAGTGCTCAGAGATCTGCTGGTAGCCTACCAGGTAGGAGTGCTGCAGAAGCTTTCAAAATGCTAAGTCCATTTAAGATTTGATACCTTTTGGACTACAAAATGTCAAAAATGATTTTAAAAAAAAACAACCTTGCATACATTTAAATTTTAAAAGTTCAAAGAGAAGAATATACTAAGTTAATAAGTGGTAAAGAGTAAAGGCGTGTAGACTGCCAGTTTTAATGAGGCTGATTTTCTTGTTATAGTCAACTCTTGCATTGACACACGGATTATATCCCTCTTTGATGAAGTCATAAGTGATGCTGAGACAGGGTACTCAAAAAATACTGGCATTCTTCTAAGCAGGGTTCAAAAGTTTTGATGAAGATAAACCCACTATGCCCACACACTTTTATTGGTAATCTACCACTTGAGCGTCGGCCAAGAAAAAATCCAGCTGTTCCGGTTGGAAAGGCTATTTAAACAACTTTTCTTATATTATTTTTAATGACATTGGTTGTACGTATTCATTCCCATAATAGACAATTTTTTTAAAATAGAAAAACTATCACAATTTTTTTGAAATAGAAGATAATCTGTGAAAATGGAATTATGCATAGTTCTCCCCCAAGTTGACAATGAAGTTTAAAAAAATATCATTTCTACGAAAACGGTTGTGGTACATGAATCCACGTAAATATGAAGGGGAAAGATCAGCGGCAATTCTTGTGCCAAACTGTCTTTTCAGTTTACGCTTTCTGAGCATTCACGTTTTCCACATTCTGTGTGTGGACATCCGCATCATCTGGATCAAAAAAAAATAATTGTTGTCTCTTTTTCTTCCTGGCATATCGGTAGCTTGGCAGTAATAATTATTTAAATGTATTATTATTGTGCTACGGTATATAACTTTATAGCCTCTATATGATAGCAAAAATATTAACAGACTCCAATGTAAGAATAGTTGTTTAAATAGCCCTTCCAACCGGAACAACTGGATTTTTTCTTGGCCGACGCTCAAGTGGTAAATTACCTTTTTGTTTCTCACTTCACACGGCACAGTTATGAAGTGACTACTAAAGTTAAAGCAAGTCACCTCTCAATTAACAATAAAATATAACTCAGACATGTAATGTAACATACTGAGCTGATGCCATAAATTCAGGCTAAAGTTTTAAAATGAAAAGAGCTCCAGGCCAGGTTCTAGCCATGACTTCAATCACCGACTGAATCAGTATCATCGTCGTCAGTCATGCATAGCAGCATACTCACATGACCATAATTTGAAATCAATGCCAATATCAAGCAGGTATTATTTTGTGGTATACGGAATGTAATCTCTCAATTAGACTAAAATGTATTTTAAAACAAAATAGTTATGCACACCTTTAAAGAGTGATCCTTAATACTCCAGACAAAACACCCTTGGACACTGTTTTGGAATAACGCGAGCAACATAAACAATGCAGGCCACAAAGCGGATGTGACTCTCTTGTAAACAATGCATATCACCAGTACTTGCCAGGTCAAATTTGCAATGAAGATTTTTTTAAAATTCTTTAACGGCCACAGCATCATTTAAATTTTTTTAACAATTACAGTTTCAAAGTCCTTAATGATAATGTTATATTTTTAAAAAAAGTATTAAAAATTGTATCAATAAATGCCGAAGGAATAAGCATAAAATATTGAAAAGTTATTGAATAATCTACATTTTAAAAAAAGCGCCTAATATATTATGTTCACAAGGAAATAGTGTTTTATGAACATGATCAGATTAATATTTTATTGATGAATCACATTAAGCCTTTTGCATTCAAGCTTACTTATTGATTGGTAATAATCAATACCATGTTGTTGGGTGTTTTTTTTTGTGTGTTTAGTTTATCTTTTAGCATATTAAATAATATTATAATTAGATTTATTATCACTGTAAAGAATCTCTAAAAGGATCCCCAGTCTTTTTAAAAGACATTGTGTTCATTGACAAATTGTAAACATTAAATATCGTGAAAAACTTCATGTCTTCTGCTAGCTTTACTTATTGCTTATGTGTAGTGTAATTATCATTAATTGCCAGCTTTAGGGTTGTCAATTATTTATTTTTAAAACATGCAGCTTTTATTAATTTTTTTTTTACGAAAGGGGAATTTTTTTTTTACTGTTTATATACTCCGTATTCGGAAATTTGATCGAAAGAAATTTCTTTGACGATAAAATTGATCGCCGGAAATTTGATCGAACTATATAGCATAGTGCGTCCAAAAAGAAATATGACGAAAATTTTTAACGTGTGAACTGAAAAAAAGAATTCGACCAAATTGCCGTTTGATCAAATTTCCGTAGACGAAATTTCTTTTGATCAAATTTCAGGTCACCTTTATACATAGAGGGTGTCACGTTTTTTAACAAAAAATTTTGATAAAAATCAAAAGTTCGACCAGGGTTGCCAACTAGAAACAAAAAAATATTTGCGGACAAATGCTATATATTACGTTTATGATTTTTAAGAAAGCTATTTCTGTGTTATAATTTTAATCCCGATGCTGGTTTAATTTCTGAGACAGGGCTAGACAAATTGAAATACATAAAAAATGAACCGATAGTTCAATGTCGTCAGTGGGTTAACTTCGTGAGGAGACTCAATTTCAATGAAATTATCCATATGGTTTTAAGCAATCGTTGTCAAAAATTGACTCATTCTATATGGAAGATGAATTCAAATTTGACCTTTAAAAATAACACAAATAAAGAACTTTAAGGTTGACGACAGATGCAATTTAATTTTTGATTAAATGTGGCTAATGATTTTTTTTAAATTTTAATTTTCTTCACGGGAAAAAAACGACTTCTGTTAAACGCTACCCTGTATTTTTGTGTAGAAAGAGAGAAATATTAAATTTTTTAAGGAGGCTGAATGTTTCCACCTTCTTAAAGATCCACTACTAAATAAAAAAAAAAAAAAACAAACTATCTTTTTGGACAGACACTGCTGCTCTACATCTTCCCTCTGTTCGATCAGGCAAAAAAAAAATATATAAATGAATCTTGCTTGAAATATTAAATTTTTTAAGGAGGCTGAATGTTTCCACCTTCTTAAAGATCCACTACTAAATTAAAAAAAAAAAAAAACAAACTATCTTTTTGGACAGACACTGCTGCTCTACATCTTCCCTCTGTTCGATCAGGCAAAAAAAAAATATATAAATGAATCTTGCTTTGCTTTGAACAGGCTGTCTCAATTTGGCTGCTGGCAAATGGAAGCCAAAATTCCTACATTCGTTTTCGTCGTTGTCAGTGCAGACCAGCTACTGAAAACCACCTTCCCTGTGCTAATGCCATCAGTGTCGTTTTAAGGCAAGGTGGGCAGTTGCCCAGGGCTTCACGCCTCTAGGGGGCATCAAGGGTAAAATGGGGAGAGACTGCAATCAGGTTAGCACAATATAAAAGAAGTAAAACAAAGTAGGGTTAAACCTGAAAAAAAAAAAAGGAACGCAACAAAACAACGAACGTGTCGACAGGAAGCCTTCGTCAGCGAACACAATTCATTTGTTGTCCATGGAAAGCCAAGTGCCCCCCCCCCCCCGGAGCAAAAAAAAATATGTCCAACAATAAATTAATTGGCACTGCCCCTCCCCCCGAAACATCTGAAGTCCCCCCCCCCCCCGAGAAAATTTCTGAAATAATCACTGGTTAGGATGCTACGTGTCGTCTGGCCTGGCAACCATTTCTCTATGCTTGAATGGCAAGATCGTCAATTTAAAAAAAAAAATTCTTGTACACTAAAAAAAAAGAATGAGTGTGTATTTCCGTCAAACCAGATTAGTTTGTCTCATGTAATTTTCCATGAGCTTTGATATCGTACGTTGAACAGCTGTTTTTAAATTGATGCCTGTTTTTCTCGGGATCCTCGTCTAGATTCTAGTCGTCTTATTTGGTTTTTCCAACCAAATTTATCCGAGACTTTCTTTAAACAAAAGGTCGGCAACCTATGACACGCGTGCCAGACTTGGCACGAAGAGCGATTTTCAGTGACACGCGGAGTTCCAAAAAAAAATAAAATAAATACAATTTTAAAAGAAGACGCTGCCGGTAGATCGATAGATTGGTGGCACGCTGAATGAATTGATGTTAGAAGGCCTACTTCGGCATGATATTAGGTCATACTAAAAGGTTACAACAACCCTGCTGTAGAGTATTTTCTTCAAAAATCGCGGACCACTCTGCCTCATTGAAACCTTGATGATGGTTAGACATAAATTCGTTTTGACCCGCTTGTGGTCTATGTAAGTTTTAAGAGTCGGAGCTTGGCATGACCCACTTGTGTAATGCAATATTAAAGCCGCCTCGACCCACTAGAGAAGTGGTCGGAATTCTTACGACTCCACAGGTAAAATGCTGTAAACAGGTCGTCACATATGATGGACGGAGGGAAAGTTTGGGCTAAATAAATGTAACCAGTCAAAGGTAAAATAAATTGATACAAATGCGGAAAGAAAATATGTTAAATTTTTGAAATGACTGCTGGTGGAGTGTGAGAGGCTATTCAAAAGTTCCCATTGTAGTTATTATTATATGATATCTCTATGAGACTTTCCCCCCAAGAGTAGGCAAGTATTTAAATCGGCGCTTCACTAGGAGGAAGGCCTCCACAGAATACCCCATTACTCTATTTTCTAAACACAAACTCCATTTCGAATAATTACAAGTTTACACTTTGTTTTGACCATACTACATGCAGCTCACGTGAAAACACGCATCATTTGGTCATGAAAAACACGCATCATATAGTCATGAAAAACTTTATATAGTCATGAAAAACACGCATAATAATGCCATGAAAAAAAACTAATCATATAGTCATGAAAACACTGATCATATAGCCTTGAAAAACACGCATCATATAACCATGAAAAACACTCATCATATAACCATGGAAAACACGCATCATATAACCATGAAAATACAAAATGTCTTTTAAATTATTAAACTTTTAAAATAAAGTTTATTTTCAAAAGATGGGAGGCCTAATTGATGTATAGGGTCAGATAATTAAGTCATTTACCAGGTGCTTGCATAACACAATGTCCCTGGCCTAATCTAGTATAGTAGGCCTATACAATAGACTACGCTCAATAAATAGTTGCTAAGTAAATAGACCGAGAACATGCAATAAAATTGTTGGGTTGTCGATAGAACTCCGCTAAGTGCTATAAGCTTTACGTGGCGAATCCATGGTCGTTTAAAATTATATACATTATAATAATTTTGCTATATTATAAACTGAAATGGCGTGGTTCAGTCACTAATAGTCATCACATCACGTGACGATGGACTGACCTAATCTAGCACAGCGTAGATCCAATCGCATCATACATAGTTTGCCTCAATCTTTGTAGGAAATGTAAAACGATACCTAGGTCATTTAAGAACCATTTAAAGACTTTTTCCTCTCTAAATAGATTTTAGGACATCAGGGCGCTGTGGGAATGCCAAAATAGCTATGCAGGCTACACAGGCGCTAAAAGAGCACTCACTCACTCATCATAATCATGTCATTACTTTAAATTAAGAGAAAAGTCGGATAGGAATTCAAAACAGCAACATTTTTTTTAGCGTAGTTAATTTTTTTAGTTTAAAAACTAGAAGTTGCGGCTATTCGGACCCGGGTCCGAGAAGTGAGAGTTTGGGTTTATTAAAAAAATATTTAAAAATTACTGTAGGGTTTGTAAGACAACATTAGGTATCAAATGAAAGATAATTGAAAGGAGTGTATGTGTTTGTAGACTTACTTCTTCAGTTGAACTAAAATACACTGCCACAAATGATCTCCGAATAGCATTTAGACAAAATGGAACCGGATACGCACTGTCGCTATTCGGACCCGGGTCCTATTAGACCAAATGCTATCCGGGTGTCATTTGTGGTAGTTTAATTTAGTAAATTGAAGAATTAGGCTTTCAAACAAAATTTAGTCCATTCCATTATCTTTCATTTGATACCAAATTTTGTCTTACAACCAAACAATAATATTTAAAAAAAAAAAATTTATCCCAACCTCTCACTTCTCGGACCTGGGTCCAAATAGCCACTTCGTTTTATGTATACAAAAAAAAAATGAATTAAGAAAATTAAATCTCTTTTCTGTTTATTTTATTTTTTCTGTTTATGATAATTTTTTTCTGTTTATCTTATGTTTATTGTCTATATTTTCTGACTATATGTTTGAATAATTTTGTCTTATCCATGAACTGAACATCTATATAGATTATGTATCAAATGTTGTTCCAGGAGCTTGCAATTTAAAAAAATAATAAACATGTTCAACTTCTTTTCTGTTTTTCTCAACCTTCCCTTTTGGGGCTTTTTTTGTAAGATACGTTGTTAGTTTCAGTGTCAGTGTTAGGGTCAATGTCAGTATCAGTGTCATTGTTAGTGTCAATGTTAGCGACAGTGTCAGTGTCAATGTTAGTGCCAGTGTTA